AGAAATATTAGCAAAACTTAACTTTCAGCTTTACTATAGTTATGAACTTGCGTATATAGTCCCATTAAAGTAGGAGTTTTTCAATGAAGATAATAATCTTAGCAGAACTTTACTTTCAGCTTTCCAGCCATTATAACAGATTGCTGATCAGGAGTCAAGTATAGTTGTGAACTTGCGTACACAGTGCCATCAAAGTAGGGGTTCTTTTTTGCAATGTGGCCAAAATCACAGTGATAATACGTATTGGTGAAGTCTGCGCCATACTGAACGGCCCCGTTGTTATCCAAACCACGAATTCTTCTATCGGTGTGACGAACAACGATGTTGTGAGGTGGGAAACGGTATTTCTGTGTAAAGTCCTGATTGCACCCATAGCATTTCTTTACGTTGTTCTGTAGCATGCAAATTTGATACGGATGAGGTGAAAGGCCCGAATGCCAAACGGTAGTGGAGTCTACTGGTTGGTACGCTAATGAGTATTGTTGTTGTTGTGGTGGTGGTGGTTGCAACTGAAGTTGTGGTAAGTGAGGTTGTGGCGCTTGTTGAAGGCGAAGGTTACGCAACTGTTGTTGCATCTGTTGGTGCTGGTCCAAGAGTAACGTTGGTTCACTTGGTTGTGGCAGGGACGGATGATAATGGTTCTGATTCTCGTTCAGGTACTGCAATTGCTGACAGTGAGTTGGCATGGTATTAGGGATTAAGACACCAAGATGACGTTGTGCGGAATCACTAAATTCGTCCTGGTGTGATAAGGTCGAAGAAGCAATTTGTGGCGTAAACGTCGATGATAATTGACTTGTAGTGTTTCTTAATGCTTTAGGGTTCCTTGGCTGCGGCTGGGGGGTAGACGGTTGCCACGATTCTTTCATTTCCTTCTTCTTTCTTCTTGCAACTTTTTTAATTTCATCTGGTTTCATCCCTTTCTCTTTTAAAGTTTTTCGCGCGTTATATGCCGTTGTGAGGTTAACACCAGTCCCTTGCTTTCTTAGAAATTTTTTCCGGATAACTTCAGCATATTTTTCCAACCAATCAAGGTCTTCGGCTACGGCAATTGTGTCCTGACAGATACCCACGGCCGTGTAAACGCTACACTGACACTCAAGCTGATTTCCGGTTTTCGATGGCTTTACAATGAGGGGAACTTTGCCAAGTCTACTTTTCACAGTTCTCATTCGAGGATCCTCAGACGCAGCTGGCAAAATTGCACCTGGCTCATTCAATAGAGCTTCCGCATTCCTGATCATATCTCTCAGCGTGCTTAGGAAGTATTTCTTCTGCAATACCAAATTGATCCGCTGAGATAGAAAGACGGCGAACTTCTGGAATCTTTGAAATTGATGGTACTCCACTTGCACTTTCATTATTTTGAATGGACTTGGTCTCATCGTCGCTGGCTGTCGTCACTGGGTTATCCCTGGAAGCAAGAACAGGTGGACAACACACACTCGTGAGAAAACGTTTCATCACTGGCTTTCGTTCCTCCAGCGACATGTCTTTCCAGCTATCGTAATCAAGAGAAAATTTCTTGTACTCCTCGTCTAATCTGTATGGCCCTTGCCCATATAAAGCTTTCGTAGCATCTTGATACAGCCGCATAACCCTGTTCTTAAGGCTGGAAATAGCTGCTGTAAGACTAGTATCTCTGTGTTTAACGCCATCTCCCTCAGCATCGATTTCAAGCTTTGACATGTAATGTAACCACTCTACTGGGTTCTGACCAAAACCTCTCGGAACTCCTGCACGATCACGGATATATTTTGCCATTTTTTCTCTGATTTGCTTCTCTTTGTACCGGCTAAAATACTTGCAAAACCTGGGTGGGTTATTCTGGGTTGAAGATCTTTCAATTCGTTCCCATTTAGTTTTAAACGCTTCGGATTTTTCATCGAATTCTTCTTTGCTCTCACAATCATATAAACAGCCATCTTCTCCCATAGCAGGGCCACCAAATATGTCGGCTTGGATTAGTTTTCTTTGTCGAACAGGGAAATTTAACTCTGTAAGCTTTCTTTCGACACTGTCTTGAACATGCTCCAAACCCAGCAAGTGAATTGTACCGCATGTTTCTTGTAGAATCCCACCACTTAATGCTTCGTCTTCGTCAGTGCAAATGACATGCAATCCTTCTAGCTTAGGGTTTTCACGCTTAACTGCTTGCCAAAAGTACTTGAAGTCATCAGTGGCTCTGTTTCTGTGGATCAGAAGGGGTCCTGGAAACCAAGGATGTCTGCACGAGTCCCGTTTCCGCAAGCTCAAGTTCTGGTAAGCTGTCTGTGTGAAATAGTACTCAGCAATATTGAAAGTCGTGTCTGCAAGCAAAGGAGAAAACGAAGTTTCACTACCGGCTCTGGTACAAAAGCGCATAACGTCCGTTAGTGTTTGGTTTGTAAAAGCAACAATGGCTGGCTGACATCCATGACGAAATAATACTTCTCTAACGAACGGTTGATTTTCTTCTAAAATTAAAAACTCGCTTTCTTGATTTTGTTCTAGCAACATAAGGATTACATCATTGATCTCATCATTGGACTTCGAATGACTTCCATAATTGAATTTGTAATTGGAAACTTGCTTTGGGTTGCGAACTCGAGAAGAGTCTGTTGTACTTTCCAAAATCGTCACGTCGGCATCTCCTATGGATTCTGCTAACAGCCGCGGAGCTCTGGAGCACGACTTGACGGCTTCTTTGCATTCCTGTTTAACGGAATGTTCTGTTGGTCTGTAAAACGGTGTGTCTTCTTTTGTTGCATTACCATGTTTTGATGGAATAATTGGAACAGGATTTCCAGAGCTAAAGTAATAATGAATGATAATCATCTTCAACCAGAGGTTGTACACCTTCAGACTTGTCAGATTTCCACGAACGCCGTTATACTCTTGTACGGACATAACAAAAATAACGTATCGCGTAAAAGAAGTGCTAAAATGCTTGAGAGTTTCTTTGTGTACCGCTCGTTTTCGCACTACAGCGTACAACTTGCTTAGGTCAGCAGCCTTACTTTTCCATTTACCATTTTCACGACGATTGTACGTCCCTCCGATAATGTTTCCTTTTCTGTCCTTCTTCACGTGCACTTCAGTTGATAAACTAAGTTCGCCGTCATCACTTAGGGTTGCTTGATAAAAACGGACCTGATCTCGCTTAATAAAAGATCCCGGCGTGTCATCTGCTTCAACATCATATGGGTGCTTAAGGTTGATTAAATTTTGCTGTACAACAAACGTAGCAGTTTCCTTAATCCGAGTTGGTTTTGCCTTAACAATTTTCTCTTTTGATACATCATGAAGAAGGCATATATTGAATATTTCTTCGAGGTTAGGACTGCTCTCACTAAACATTGGTAGCTCTCGATTGTTGCGGTAATATTGTATATGGTCATCGTTTATGCTCAGGCAATCAACAGCTACAGGTTCTATTTTCACTGATCCTGTTGTAAGATTACCATCCCTTTCATCATCAGTAAAAAGTCTTTTCCTTATGGGAGATAAACCAGTACTGCTAGGGAATGTTTCCTCTTGATCATTTGTCAGGTCAATTACCTCAGCACTTTGCCTCTTCCTTTTTGATGTTTCCTTCATTAACAAGGTGATGAAAGTACTTCACCATGAATTTTTTAAATACATTAGGGAACTAATATTAGCCTATGGATATAATGGCCTAAAAAACAAGGTGCAACAGACACTTATTGGTACTGCACTGCAGTGCACTGCACTGCACACCACATGGCTATCTTTAAAATGGGGAACAGGGAACATGGAAACAGGGGAACTACCCAGTGGCTCTGTTCCCCTAATCCCCAGTTCTCCTTCTCCCCTCTTCTCTATTACCACACTCCCTAGTTCACCCACTCCCCAGTCCCTCCAAACTAACAAACAAAAGTAATAAAATTTCAAATACTGCAATTTATATTAATCATATGGATCTGATCATAATTATACATTGTTTATTGTGTAATTAATGTAACACTTGGAGAATTCATTGGGAGTAGCATTTAGACTTTACACAATATGGTTTTGTCATTCTTTAACTATTCCTATAAATACATATATAATCAAGAAGTTGGGCATTTTTGATATTTATAGTATTACAGGAAATGTATTCCAATAAATGTCATAAAAAGGTAATATACATAATAATGCAATGTTTTTTGGCAGCTAATTGAGGTTCACACAGTAGATAAAGTGTTTAATAATGTTTAAAAACTGCAATAATTCCTTATTACTTAATAATTTCAAGTTATAAAATGCACATTGTTGTTTCACTGTAAAATGTTTCTTTCAACAAAACATATACATCATAATTTATCATATTATCCATATGAATAATATAAATTGTAGTATTTGTAATTTGGTTACTTTTGTGTGTTAGTTTGGAGGGACTGGGGAGTGGGTGAACTGGGGAGTGTGGTAATAGAGAAGAGGGGAACAGGGAAACTGGGGAGCAGGAGAACTGGGGATTGGGGGAACAGAGCCACTGCCACTGGTAGCTCCCCTGTTCCCCTGTTACCATGTTCTACACCACACCACACCACACCACACCACACCACACCACACCACACCACACCACACTACACTAAACTGCAGAATCGAAAGAAAGATACTGATCAAAATAATAAACTATTAAATTTAAAGTCTTTAATTCTCACTCGTTTGTGTATTAACATTTTCATATTCGTACTAAGAATTGCATAATTTTACCATATCGATACTTGTACGAAGAATAGCATATCTATTTTAAACGAATTACCTTTTCTGCGCCGTCTGAATCGTCAAAATCCATAATGAAAGTAAATAAAAGTGAAAGAACAAGGGCTATTCTGATTTTGGTCGTATATCCAACGTATGTCACTCGTATGTACTCGTATGTCACTCGTATGTAATCGTATGTCACTCGTATGTACTCGTATGTCACTCGTATGTACTCGTATGTCACTCGTATGTACTCGTATGTCACCCGTATGTACTCGTATGTAACTCGTGTTACTCGTGTGTTGTTTTAGTCACGATCGTATCGCTTTGGTATGTCTCCTGCTGTCTGCATAGGCCTTGCACTTTTGTTTGGCAGTTGCGTCTCTTTGTCGGATGGTTGCATCAGATACTGTCTTCTTCGCCATTCCAGGTGGTAGACGACCATTCAGTTCCCTCCCAAAGATCAACTTGTTGGGGGTTTCTCCGGTGTTTCCATGTGGCGTGTCTCGATAGCTTCTGATTGTTTTTTGAATTTCCTGTCGGATGTTCTTTCCTTCTATTTTCGCTATCTTCGCACTTTTTTTTATGATTTGAATCATTCTTTCGACATCACCATTTGCCTCGGCCCATTTTGGAGTAACTTTCCGGTGTTTAAAACCCAGCGTTTTTGCAAATTCTGAAAATTTTCCCGAGTTGAATGGTGGTCCATTATCTGTCTTTATCTCTTTTGGAGTACCATATGTAGTGAAGATACGTTCCAGCGCACGTATTGTTGTTTCTGCCGATGTTGTGGTGACGAATTCGACTACTGGGTATTTGGCATATTGATCCCACATTACCAATATCGTATCTTTGTTTGGTAAGGGTCCCGCGAAGTCCATGCTGACTTTTTCCCATGGTCCATCTGGTAGTTCGGTCATTTGTAGTGGCTCTCTGTTATTCAATGGCGTAGTTGCTTGACATCCCAAACACTTGTCCGTGTAGTTTTTCACTGCTGCATCTATTCCCGGGAACCAGACGTGTGCACGGAGCATTTGTTTAGTTCGTACTACTCCTTGATGTCCTTCGTGGGCAATCTGTATCATTCGTTTCTGCAACTTGTCTGGGACTACCATTCTTTCACCTCGCATGATCAGGTCGTCCACCAATGCCAGTTCCTGGAATACGTTTTTATATCCACTGATATCCTCTGTATTCACCATTTGTCCTCTTTTTATGCATTGCGACAGTTTTCTCATTGCTGGGTCTTCTTTCACAGCTTGCTTCATTTCCTCTATACTAATCGAGATAGGCACGTCATTTTGGAGAATATAGTTCACATATTGTTTTACTTCCTTACTTGTACTTAGCTCTTGCTTGGTACACTCCTTACGCGGTAGCGGGTGCCTTGAAGTATAATCGGATATGTTGCTCTTTCCCGGCCTGTATTCTACCTTGAAATCGTAGTCCACAATCCTTACCAAGATTCTCTGTAGCCGTATTGAGGTTTGATGTCTTGGATTATTTATGATTGCTTCTAATGGTTTGTGGTCCGTGATTATTGTAAAAGGTATTCCGTATAAATACAGGTGAAATTTCTTACATGCGAAATCTACAGCCAGAGTTTCCAGCTCAATCTGTGAGTACTTGCTTTCTGTATCTGTCAACGAGCGGTTTGCGTATTGTACTACTCGCCACGGTCCCTCTTTGTCACTTCTTTGCACCAGTGTTGCTGATATCCCCAGAGGACACCCATCTACGTGAACTTCGTGTTCCGCCTTGGGATCGAAGTACACTAGGCTGGTCTCGTCACACAATCCTTTTTTTAAGTTTTCGAATGCTCTCTGGTGTTCAGTTTCCCATTTAAAATGTTCGTCTTTCAAAAGGCTCCTCAATTTTTCAGTCGAAGGTGCAAATCTTTTCATAAATCTAGCGTTATACTGCACTGTGCATAAAAATGAATTAAGTTCCTTGGCATTCCGTGGTGGAGATGTTGTTTTGATTGCCTGAACTTTGCCCGGGTCTGGGCTTACTCCGTCCTTCGAGAATACTAACCCGAAATATAAACACTTGTCTTTGCTAAATTCGCACTTCGATTTATTGAAAGTAACCTGTTTATCTTTCGCTGTTTCAAGAAGTAGTTCTAGTCTTTCGTCGTGCTCCTGTTGATTTCTCCCCGATACCAGTATATCGTCGCTGATATTAATAACGCCTGGTATGTGCTGGGTCAGTTCTTCCCGTATTTTGTTTTGAAATATGTCACCAGCTGATTTCGTCCCATAGTTGAGTCTCTTATACCTGTAGAATCCGGTATGTGTCGTGAAGGTTGTTATATCACGGCTGTTTTCTTCAAGCTCCAACTGGTGGTATCCATGGTTCATATCTAGGTGGGAAAAGACTTCCGCTCCATTTAATTCATGTATCACTTCTTCGATCGTTGGCGTAATGCTGTTCACTCGGGAGATGGCACTATTAGCTACTCTCATATCGACGTTGAGACGTATTTCGTTTGGATTCTTCTTGGGGGTGATTACTGTGGGGGACACCCAACTAGTAGGTTTATCTATTTTCTCTATGATATCTTTCTCCTCCAGCCTTTTCAACTCTTCTTCTATCTTCGGACGTATACTAAACGGTATCCGCCGAAGTGGTTGTGCGACTGGTTTAACTTCTGTGTCGATATTGAGGTCGACTTTTACTCCTTTCATTTTCCCAATACCTTCGAATCTATCGTTATAAGTCGTCAATAATTCCTCCACTCTTGAGGGTTGCTCCTTTACTGCCGTTACAACCTTAATCATGTTCAGTTCTTGGGCAGTTTGGTAGCTAAGCAATGGCTCTGTTTTTGTCTTTCCCTTTACCACGTAAAATGTTGCTGACACCAATCTTGTCTCGGATTCAATCATCGCGTCGAATTTGCCAATAATACGTAATGGTGGAGTTGGATTTTCCTCTGTGTGGTATGGTTGCATGATGCTCTTTACTTTTCTTAATGTCTGTCCTTTTGGGTATAATTTCCTAAACGCTTCCTCGTCTATGATGTTTGCCGTGGCTCCCGTATCTACCAGGACATCTATCTTACTGTTGTCTATCTTTATCGTTCGAACTGGTCTACGCTCAGGTTCTACTGCCCCAGCGCTTACTGCCCCGACATTGTAAACCGATATATCGTCACTACTGTCTGATACGCTGTCATTATCTTCCTTCTCGATCCTTCTTACCGCCTTTAGTCTGTTTGAACTTTTACAACATTTTGCGAAGTGGTTGGATTTGTTACATATTTTACATCCTGGGGGCTGGGCATTTGGTCCTTCCACCTTGATGCGGGAATTTTCCACCACAAAAGAAGCATTTCTTTGATGATTCGGTTTTTTCTGGTGTTATTCTTGTTTCATGTATTTCTTCGACTCGTAATTTTTCATACTTAAGTCCTTTCTCGATCGTCGATGCTTGGCTATCTGCTATCTCTTGTGCTCTTGCGAACTCAAGCGCTTCTTGTAGCGTATGTTCTTTACTCAGCAATTGTCGTCGTAGTCTTTTCGATTTTCCTTTATCTATGATCTGCAATTGTATTTCGGTGTCTTGCCAGCCCTCTGGGAATTCACATAATCTCGCTGCTTGCTTTAATCTTGTGCAATAATCATCGCTGGTTTCGTCTTGTTCTTGTTGGATTTGTCTGAGTTGGTATATGTTGTAAAGATTGTTCCTTTTGGGTTGAAAATATTCTGCAAGCTTCGAAGCCGCCGTTTCAAAATCGTCTCCTGTTTCCTCTAACGTTTCAAAAATGTCTTGCACCTTGAATCCCGCGGTGTGTAAAAATAGGGCTCTTTTTCTGGCTTTGTCTTTAATATCCATTGCGATTATATAGTTCTTAAATCGATCAACGTATTTGGTAAATCTGTTGCCGACTGTCGTTTGATCTACGTCTGGGTCAAACGGCGGAAAGTTTATAGACATGCTATTAGCCATGTTAACACGTGTATAACTTTTATGATTATAGCTTTGGGTGTTTGTCTAGTTATCCTCGTCGCCAATGTAGGATATCGTGTTAGTATCAATATTTATTCACCTATGTTTCTAGATATATATTACCTTCTAACGAAAATATTAATGTTTACTCGAAGACTCCGTATTCCGTTTTTTTTTATATATATATTATTTGTCCTTTTATATGTCTCTGTTCGTACGCATGAGTACCTAATTATGCGCATATTTAGTTCTATTTGGTTACTGAGGGATCGTTATTTGCTACGACACTACAAATATATCCTCGTCGGGTAAAGTTTTGACGCTCGTTTATTGAACAATCGAAAACGTTCTTATATCCAATTTAGTCCTTAAAATACATTTAATCTTAGGCTAAATATTTTAACCCTGGGTTAACTAACCCTACCGCTAACCCTGCTTTGAACAACACAGTTTTAACCCAGGTTTAGCTAACCTAAGGTTAAGGATTTTAACCCAGGTTTAGCACTAACCCAGGGTTAACTTTAACCTGCTTCTGAAGAACCGGCCCCAGAGGTATAAATTCTGTTAAGCCGGCCACCTAATTCAACCCATTTTCAAAGATTTACCAGGTCAAGTTTTTAAAATTTGTGTCAGGGCAGGAGGAAAAAAATACTTTTAAATGAGAAATAGTAAACATTAGCGTTTTTCCGATATATGCTCATTGAGCACCTTAACATGTTGTTATTTTTTTACCTTTACCTGTTGAAACACATTCTACTCCAGCGTTTTCTTCATGACTTCAATCATGTTCTCCCCATCCTCTATGAATACAACTTATCAAATTTTACTCCATTCCTGTGCATTCTACCCGGTTTAACCATTTTCGTCCAGAACCATGAGGAACCTGACCTCCCTGAAGAGCTCTAAGAGAATCTTGATAACCAAGTTGACGACAAACCACTCTAGCATTTTTGAAATCCTATCCATAATCACAGATTATTTGATTAAGGTGGCTCCCTACAGTTACGGAATTTCATCGGGATTTTTATGCGTTGCGATTTATCAAGTTAATGCGACTAATAAAATGTTGGAAAGAAATTATGAAGCATGTATAACAACAACTATTGTCTTAAACAATGAGAATATCCAAAAAAATTCACAAATATAGCGTTGCCATGGCAACAATGACATTTTAACTAAAAGCTATTTTCCTAATATATCGCAGTTAATGTGGATTATCTTGAATTTCCTTCTGTCAATTTTCGCCAAAATGTGCATACAATCTTTTTTTTATATATTCTTAAATATGTGAAAATATGAAATGGAGTTTCCAAGGTAGGTTTTCGGCTACAGAATTTCTTGGTTTAAAATTGTTCTGTCTTATAAAATATTTCCAAAATTTGATATGTTGCAGTGAACGTTATGTTCTTTCATTAAATGAAATTAAAAAAAAATTCACCGAAGGAAACCCTGTATTTTCCATCTTTTGTACTCGCGCGGCCAAGCGATGACTTGCAAAATATCGATTCGACATGATCGCTATTTACGCATGCGTTAAATTTCCACGCGGGACGAACGTGTCATTGCTCATGTGAAAATTTAGATTCGAAATGCCGTTGTATTGCCGCGAGAACTCGAGCAGTTTTTGTCACTCTGGGTCGTTTCCCGTTTTCCGTTGGAGGTTTCGAAAGGATGGAAATCAGTCCTGGTTTACCAAAGTTTTTGAATAGCTGTAAAAGATCCTCGTAGCTTAAACCACTGCCAGCGATCTTCTCCGCCATGCTCTTTGTTATTACGCCACTGCCTGATGGATTATAAAGCTTGTTTTCCATGGACTTCAAGATCTTGTGTCGTCGGTCTAAGTAATGTAAATCTTCTAGAGCAAAATCACAAGAAATCGGCGTACAATGGTCGACAATAAACTGTTCCGAGAGCTGCAATTTGGAGTGAAATAGCATTTTTCGAAGGGCCTTGACATCCTCAAGGGCATCGTGTGCTTCGAAGGATTCTTGAAACAAGCATCTGTACAGTGCAGTCTGGCTTAGTGCGCAGGGTTGACCATTGGCTTGCTGCAGGGAAGGATGTTTGTTTCGTGCTAATTGCTCAAAGATGGAAAGACTTTCACCAAATAAAACTCCCGATGACTGTAATTTGTCATGGAATGAACTCGTACTGTTGCGAAGTATGACCGGTATATCAAATCGTTTCGCGTTATGGCCGAGAAGAATGGTACAAACATCTTTATCCGTTAAAGTTTTACAATATTCAACTGATGATTCCAGGAATAAACTAAAACGGGAGATAGCTTCTGATGAGGTGAGTGTTGTTAGCTGTTCTGCTTCTTTGAAAAGCGTACGTTGACCATTGACAGTTCTAATCGTCAGCTTGTTGACTCTTGAAGCGTATTTGTCTATCGCAGTATTTGGCAAAATATATTCTGAAAATGTGCAATGATCATACTTATCAACTGCTGACAATTGACATAGTTCGGCTGCTCTTCCGGTCGCGTTTGTTTCTGTATCAAACATGATTATGTTGTAGAATAGGTTATCATGGTAAACAATATCGGAACATGTTGGTCTGGGTGTATACTCAGAGACTGTATTCTCATATGTTTTGAAACTTTTGTCTGATACACAAGAAATGTCGAATACTTCAGGTGCTTCTCTTGTTGATGTTATTGTTGACATTTTGTCCAATGTGAGGCCCACATTACTTTCATATGTTTTTCCCTCTTGTTGCTCTTTTCTACTGTTATGAGATAGCCTCCTTGAATGCAGCTGATTTCTCTGCTTTTTGAATTCGATTGTTTTCTTTCTAACATTATCATTACTTTTCTTTTTATCCAATTTTAGGTTGTGGTCAGTGCAAATACTTCCTGGCTCAACACCCATTGCCTCCAGAGTTCGATTGATATAAGTGTGGCCGATGTTGGTTTGGGCCACCGCACAGGCTACTCTATAATCGTTGCTTTCGCTTCCACCGTAGAAGCGAATCTTTGGGGCTTTTGAACCAACAACACTGTTGAATTACTCATTGCGCTGGGAGTTTGCCACAGGAGCAAGCTTTTCAACGACTTTATCACTGTAATACTCGCTGAACAACTCCACTAAAGCATTGTATAGACAATCTCCATACAGATCTTTACCATGCGGTAGATGGGTGTGTCTGTATTCAACTGGATCCTGTTTATATCCACACCACTCATCATTGCATTCATCATGGTTGCCAAATGCATGAGGAACAATGGACTTCAGGAAGGTTTGGATGGATTTAGGATCACCTTTTCCTTGATTGACACAAATTGAGAAACATTTTACCAGGTAGTTGATGACTTTTTGAGATAATGGTGAGCTATTGATAAATTTGTTGCTTTTACTCAGGTTGTATAGCCTGGTTGTTAGAGAGCGTTTGATATGTATTATATCACTGTATTTTTCAATGCCATATGGGACCTTTTCATGAACATAACATTCTGTTGTTGAATCATCATCGCCAGTGTACTTAGAATATTTAATGTTATAGTTTGTGGCATTCTGGAACAGGTCAACAGCCGACAATGGTTCCATCGATTTAGACGAGCCTGTATGGTTTTTACGGCAATCATGATGTCTAGGCTGTTCATGACTTTTTGCAGCATGTTCACATATTCTGCAGGTCTTAGTTTTGGTAGTGTAATCAATTATCTTGCCTGTATCCAACCCCATAACAGCACCTTGACCAGTATTTGAATTAAAGCCTTTACCCCGCTTCTGCCATCCCATGTCATAAGAGACGCTGATTGGAATAAGATCATTTTCATCTGGTTCAGCCCCCATCAAGATGGCACTATTTTTTTCTTTAATGGCAACATCTTCACATGATTTTTTAGCAACACCTTCAATAATAGAACCAACTTCTCTCTCTCCATTCTTAAAACTTGCTCGGCTCATTGTAGGGATGTTCATGGTTGACAGAATGCTATTTAGATGTGTTTCGCCTATGCCTGTGTGCAAGCTTGCCAATGCTGCTCTAGAATTGATGTCATATGCACTAGGACCACACTTGCCAGATTTGTGTTTACCACTGGTTTCTATTGTATTCTTTTCTCCACAGAACTCACATTTAATGATCAACTGAGTTGCCAAAGCAAAACACTTTTCAGACACTGTGTTTGCAATTGACATTGGACCTAAAAAAATAAATAAAATTCTATATAATTATAAATAGTTTGTGTATAGTATATTCTATATTTAGGGAATTAATTTTTGGTATATTACAGGTAATAAATTACATGTAATGTACTAAATACTTGTAATAACCTGTAATTTGTGCCACTTTCTTTACTTGTGATATTGTGTATACCATGCAGATATATGTTATAATAAAGTATATTTGTATATTTTTAAAGTGTATTTGTATTACCCGTATAGAAATAAGATATGAGCAATGCATGTTATAAAAACTTTCACAAATAATGCTCATATAAATTGTTGTTTACCTTTCGTGCAAAATTTACATGTCTTTAACTCTTCATATAACATATCAACGTCAAAAATGCGTGAGCCGTGTGGCCTATTTTCTTGGAGTTCTTCATGGGCCTGTTTTTAGGAAAGAATTTCCACAGTGTGGAATTGAGTTAATTGATAAAAATTCAATAGCTTTCAATGTTTGTCCGGGAAATACGTACCGCCGCCGATCTCGTATAAACCCGTTTCACGGATAGGTCGCTTTTCTCTTCGCTTACTTCCAAAGGACGCTTTTGACGCCAACGATAATAGCCCTCGCGAAGCCTAGCTGTATTGCAGATGTTTCTTGCCGAAATTGTCCCAAACTTTCCTGAAGACACACGATTTTTAAATCTAAAAGACATCTTGTTTTGAAAATTTTCCGGACACACTTGTACTTTAAATTTCCCGCGCGGTCCGCGAGGCGCGCGTAATTTGCGTGGATGAGTAACGCGCGCTGACGTCGACATATGTTAAAATTAGTTCCCAGTCTTTACAAGAATATAACTGTAGTTTTTAATTATTTCCCAAGGCCTCGATCTTAACTGAATTTCTCGATGCTCTCCTCAATATTTTTAAACGCGGTGTTTTTTGAACGGTTATCTGTAATTATCAGCAATTTAAAAAATATACAAATTATTCAACAAAAGGCCTAAAAAATGATAGAGATATCGTTCCAGTTTTGTAACTTAGCTCAGTGGCCACAGCCAACATCACAGAGCCAAACCCCATCCAGTTCCTGTTTCTCTTTGAGTCTTTGCATTTCCTCACAGTCTGTGTTCGTTATTATATTTGTCAAAATGATCGTATTCTTGGACTACAAGCTCCCAAATGATCCTGATTCATCGTAGGTGATCAACGTATTCATTTAGAAAGCTGAAGTTGTTTTTACAGGGTTAATCGACGCAGACAAGTACAAAAACAAAAACAAACGGCTTTGGGCTAGTCGTGGTATACAGCGTGTATAAAAAAAGGTAGTCCAACTTTGGTGCGCTATTGTACGTGTACTTCTCAGTGTATGAACGAAATTTTTTCACATTCGGAGAGATCAGGCTTTTAACTATCGGATGACATGCTTTTAATACCAAATAGTGAAAAAGTGAGCACATACGAGGCTGATAGAAGATGTTAATCGCAATCGCATATTTTCACCTTTGAGCTTAATTAAAGCAGTGCATAACAAAAGAAAAAACAATTAATCACGAACATGTCACAGCTTGCACTAATTTTATGCAGCATTGCTTGGAATGTTCTCCTGATGTGATTTATTCCTACTTAATATGCATATGCGGGTAGTTTATTCAAAAGCAAAATTCTGCAAATTCTGCTTTCAATGGTTTTAGTCCCAACTCTCAGAGGTGAAAATATGCGATTTCGACTAACACTTTTTATTTGCTCATTTTTTCACCATTTGGTATCTAAAACATGTTATTCGATAGTTAAAAGCCTATAAACCTTTCGGAATGTGAAAAAAAATCGTCAATAGAATGAGTAGTTCACGTACAATAGCGCACCAAAGTTGGATTACCTTTTTTTTTGCACCCTGCATGTACAGGGTATTAACCAGAAAACAGCTCTTTTACACGCGCTTTTTGCCACATAAATATTTCCAGCCTATTCCAGGATAATTTCCATTTTCGATGCACTCAAGTAAGGCGTAATTTTGTTTATGTTCGACATATTCGTCTACATATGGTTTTGACCATCTAGGTTATCACATTCTCAATATTGAACTAGTTTGTTTGTGATTATTAATTGGCGTCGTATTGAATAAACTTGCATTATTAAATACCTGGTACTGCACAGCGCTTCGTCGCGTTGTGGTCTTGTGTGATACTGATACTGGAAAAACATTCCTCACTTCTTTAAACTGCATATGAAATGAAAATTTCGATATCTGGTTTTTTGCATTTTCTAAAAAATTCGTATTTTCCGGTCATAAATATACCGACATTGTCGAAAAAATTCGGACTAGAAGTTTGTGAAATTTACGATTAAAGTTCGATTTTTAGACTCTTAACTGGTGAAATTCTTAACATTCCATCGCGCGGCCAATGACGTAGGCAGTGTGACACAGCTCGATCTTTTGATAGGTATTACTGCGATGTTATATAGCTGCGTCTATGTACAATTGGGATTCCGGAGCGATTTTGACGAATCCGTTTTTTATAGTTACGAATTTTGATTTATAGACAGAATATAATTACAACATGAAGAATCGTTGCACCCAAAAATGCACTTTTTATGCCGCGAGAGACTATATACCGCATCTTGAGGGTACCCTGCAACTAATTTTAGGAGACATAGTTCATCTTCGATCGCCAGATGCTTTTTGGACCATGCCATGAAACCTAATAATTCTATCTAAACTGTACCTTTTCACACACAGATCATACATAGTTCGTCTGAAGAAATTGATTCAACTCAAGACATCAAAGGTATAGCATGTTTTATGGCTTCTAGGGAAACATAGTTGCATTGATTTTTTAGCGTGTAGAAAAGATATTCTTGTGCTGCGGGATAATTCCGCGTCTATCGGTGTCTTACACTACTCTAAAGTGAGAACTCTTCTTATGTGAGTGACGTGAGCGAGAGTGTTCTCATCTTGGTTTCATCACGTTTTCAAGCGCTGAGAAAACTAGAAAATTTTTGGACGTTGGAGAAAAAACTGATCGAGAAGACTCGATAAATTGGTTGGACCATTTTGACTACAAAAAAAGATTTAATTGGTTACAAGACGGCCACAGGCAATGCATTTAAGCTTGCAAACGAGGTAGTGTAATAAGGGGTATAATAATCCCCGAGCCGGTGCGAAGCACCGGGCGAGGGTACTACTTCCGCGCGGGAATACAAATGCGAGATGAAATTTGTCCACCATTATGTCATGGACGTTGGGCGTTTTTGTAAGTTATGCGCATGCGTGAGTTTAAGACGAGTTAAAACTGGTAACTAGCAAACGTTTACAAACGTGCGATTGGCTAAATTAAAATTTGGGTTCACGTCAGCATAACTGTATCTTGAATTATAAAACTTTTTCAAAATAATATTTTTCATTTGGGTGGTCTAAAAATATGCGAAGAGTTGAGTCGTAAAATTGATTAAAATATAATGTGAAAGATGCCTTCGGATAGAAAAACTTTCATTCAAATGCATGGTAAAAAATCTACGACTTTGAAGCATTTTTAAAGTGTTTTTGAACAGGTAAATGGGTGGATTTTGTATTTTAGAGCATGCAAGTATTTTGTAAGTTTAATGTGTGGATTTCGTAGAATTGCGCGGCTGAGTTACTCGACAGAAACGGAACTTTCGAAGTATGTTTGGATATTGAAAGAAAGCGAGAGACAATTCTCTATCAAGTGGTCCCTTTTAAAGCAAGTCCCGGCGTGTAGAGCTGGAGGAAAAAGATGTAATCTGTGTTTGGAGGAGAAACTTCATATCCTTGAATTGAGCAAAGACAGAGCGTTGAATAAACGATCGGAATTGTTTGCGAAGTGTAGACACCGCAATAAATTCAGCGCGCAAAAATTCAAAATCGCAAACGCACGCGCAAGTCATCTGAACGCGTCAGCAAACCGTTAGTTATAAAATCATAGTATCCATTCGCCTGAAGATCGCTTTTAAGCGTGAAACACAGTGTAGCGATGAAAATATTTTAAGATTAAATATAAATATAAATATTGCTCTATCACACCTCGATATTGAGCACTCTTTGTTCAAGTACGGACAACGAAATATTATATTGGATATAATATCATCATCATATATTATATATATATATATAATATATATAATATATATATATATATATATATATATTATATATATATAATATATATATATAATATATATATATATATATATATATATATATATAATAAGAACTTACTGACTGAGAGTGAGGTCTGTACGGTAAAATATCAAACCGAGGTCGTGCCGTATTGACCGAGCGATAGCGAGGTCAATACACCAAGACCGAGGTTTGATATTTTACCGTACAGACCGAACAGTCGAAGTTAGTAAGTTTTTTATTATATGGCATATTTCATGCAGACATTGTAATGATTAGTTAGTTTTTGCCGTGAATTTTGCCTTGTTTTCACAGGGCAATAAGAATTGCGTATTGCCCGTGGGCAATACGGGGAAATCCGGACCTGTCAGCAGCCAATCAAATTGCAGAATTAACCAAAACAAGCGCTTGCCATATAATAAATATATTTATCACATACTTGTGCCTTTATCAAGGCGATAACAGGGTGACATAAAAACGATATCGTCACTGATATCGCTTTTTGTCACTGATATCGCTTTTTGTCACTGATATCGCTTTTTGTCCCGCTGCATTTGCCGCTGTCAAAACAAAGATGGCTGACTCGAGCAGTTCGAGGTTTGTTTCAGTCGATGTCGATTGGTTTTTAGAAGAAAAAAAAGTATGTGACAAACAGGTTATCACAATTGGGACAAGGTGATATCAGTTTTATCGCAATCAGGACGATATCATAAATGTCCCTCGTTCGCTG